CAAGCCCTGCTCTGAAACTTCACCTTCTAACAACCACCAATCAGGAGGAAAACAGAAGTTAAGTTGACGGTTTGCCTCCCAGCACCAGCCAATTATGTTAAAGGCCATAATGGCCTCCCCAATCCTAAGTGTACCAGGCTAGATACTCCCTTTTTGCCTCTTATAAATGCTTGCCTAAAACTAGGCTCAGGGCTCCACCTTCCTCCTGTTCAGGGTTTACAGGGTGAACTTGAGCTTGAATACAGAGACCCTAATGTGATTGCATCAGATTCAGCTCCTTTGTGGTCTTTTGGGGTTCACGAACATTTCCTAGCACAACTCCTGTCTGTGGGGATGTACACTCTGGGGGTGAGTGTGCCTTTCTGTGTTCACTCTTTCCACGTAGAGGCAAGCTGCCACATCCAATGAATGGGACCAAATGGAACCCAGTTCCAGGAGGTTATAAGAATGATGTGTATAGGTCAAGTGAATATTGTGGTTATATGTATATGTATATGTATATGTATATGTATATGTATATGTATATGTATATGTATATTATTAGGAACTTGGCCTGGCCTTAGAGCATGATGAAGTTCTAGATGAGGAGGCTATTTCCCCTTTCTATTTCATTTGAAATGTTGCTCCTGAATTGCTTGGTAGTCCTTTCCTTTCAACGATTTCCCCTGCCCCCAGATGTCATTGGTACCAAGATGAGCAAAGTAGAGCACCTCAGTAGGGTGACACCAACCCTGTTTGAAGGTCCAACATTTTCCGGAAAGGAAACAGAATTTTCAACTGTCAAATGTCACATGGTTTTTGTTTACAGTGCCCTGAAAGAGTTTAAAGTGAAGTTCTCAGACATATCATGAAACTAGCTATCAAATCATACTATTTTTAAAAGCCCATAAGCATGCAGAAAAAATATCTAGGAAGAAAAAAACATCACACAGGGGCGGGACCTAGGACCATAGCTCACAATCTAATGGAATTTTATTCATGCCATTATGAGAATACCTTAGAAAATGTATCCACATGGGATTCTTATAATTAAAAAACAAATAAATAAACAAAAACAACACAGCATGCAAATTTAATAAGGGTCAGCTAACCAATCTTGTGATATTCCAGGGGAGAGAGTGGATTGATGACCTGAAAGAAGACAGGCGATAGCATATCCCAGGAGATGAGCACAAAAGCTCTCGCTCTAGAGGGCTTGGGCTTGAATTTCTGCTCTCCTGCTCATCAGCTGTGTGTTACCTGGATACATGACCTGGCCTTATTTGTGTCATAGCTGTTCCATCCATAAATAGATTAGGACCTATAATCATTGATTAGGTTAATGATCGTCTCGATCATTAAATGAATTAGGATATGGAAATACTTGATTATTCAAACTGAAGCCTCTGTAAATATTACCTAGTATTTTAGGGAAACAAACAGGATTGGAGTGGAGGGACTGGGGAGAAGGGATAGATAATATTTAAGACTGAAGTGAACATGTGACTGATGCTGCCTTGAGGTATCTCTCAAATCCCATAATTCTTTGCCCATCACTTCAACTGTACAACCTGAGGTCATATGGGGAGACTTGTAAAGACTCTTCCAATCCTCTGGCAGGTGTTTAACTTTGCAATCAGGAACTAAAGGTCACATCCCTTAGCCTTTCCGTTCAATTCTGTGATTAGTGGGTTGCTAACTAACCATACCACCCACCCTTTGTGCTTACATTTTCCCTTGTAATAAGGCAATGACTATTCATATTTTGACAGATATAAAATGGACTTCAGATAAGTCAAAGGAAAGACTTTCTACCTCTCCAGCACTACTTATATAAACTCAATTGTCAAGGTGGGGTAAATGTGGGAGGAACACCCTGGTATGCTGCTTGATGCTCTAATTATTGTAATACACAGTGAGAAAATATACTTCGAGAAGACATACAACATCAAATACGTTAGTATTTAGGCGGTGTCAAGAAAACTCTACATGGTTGTATTTTGAATAACAGCATCCACCAAGTTAGGTCATCCCTCTTGTCTGCCGTGTCTTTGAGTTTCTCAACCATTGCAGAAATTTGGCAAGTTATTTGCTTCAGTTCATAAGATGCTGGTAGGATGGGTTCTTAATTCTGATGTAACTCTTTTTTTCCATCCACTGTCTCATGTCTACATGGTCTTCCATTGTGATCCTAAGTGAAGTTTTGAGGGCACTGTAGCCATTCATCTGGCTTGGCGATTCTTTGAGCCTTTCCTGGAGGTCATTATTTAGCTGTGGATCATAACCCTGACCAATGTTTAGACTCTGCAAGAAGAATAACTAACAGTCACACACACACACACACACACTCACACACATATATCATATCTCCTAGCCATGACCTCAGTGCCTTTCTCTGGTCCCCTACCTTAAGCATACATACATTCTTGTTCCTGTTGCCCTTGTTAAAGGTTTTTTTTTTTTTTTTTTTTTTTTTTTGTATACCCAGACTGTGGATTTGTGTGCTTTGGGCTTTTCCTCATATTGGATTTTTCTCATTCATGTATTGGGAATGCCTTCATGTATCGTAATGAAATTGAAACATGATTCTCCACTGAGAATGTACTCTAATATGAAACTCTAAAGCATGCTCTCGAAAACATTGCTTTACTGCAGGGTAATTGGCATGCCATGAACTGCATCGGTTATGAGAGTCCAGTCGTGAGCCCAATTCTGGGCTTTGAAACTCCTTCTTAGGGATGAACCCGTCTTTCTTCCTGACTTCAACTGGAGCCTCTCAGGGGCATTACCTTAACTCTCCTAAATTACTCACCTTGTAAAAGTCCATTTCCAATCCCTCTCAGTCAGGCATCTATTCCCGTTACTCAGTTGAAATTGCTCTTTAAGGTTCAGCTGCCAAATCCAGTGGGCATTTGTCTAGCCTTTTAAAAAATGTAGATTCTTTGTGACATTTGCCCCCATTGGCCGAAACACTCAGCACTCTCTGTCTCTCTCTCTCTCTCCTCTCTCTCTCTCTCTCCTCTCTCTCTCTCTCTCTCTCTCTCTCTCTGTCTGTCTCTCTGTCTCTCTGTCTCTCTGTCTCTCTCTCTCTCTGTCTCTCTCTCTCTCTGTCTCTCTGTCTCTCTGTCTCTGTCTCTCTCTCTCTCTCTCTCTGTCTCTCTGTCTCTCTGTCTCTCTGTCTCTCTCTCTTTCTCACTCTGGAAAATTTAAACTTTCTTGGTATCCACAGCAACCACCTTCTGGCAGTCTCTTACTACTGACATGGTTGCTTCTCATTGCCCATGTTCCACTGGCTTACACTTTCTTTTGTTTATCCCCCTTAGCTATCTCCGTCTGTACACAGTCCCTACGTGAGCACCGGCACCCACCGCTTTAGTAGTATTAAATGCATGTGAATGAGTTCCAGCAAATGATTTCATCTTGAGCCTTCCTGATATTCAGACCCATAGGCAGAGATTGTTCTTTGGGCAATGCTACCCACATATACCATAGGCATCTGAAATAGTATCCTCAAAGCTCGCCTCATTATACTCTCTTCAAAAATTTCTCTTCTTCCTTGACTCTCTAGCCTAGGACACATGCTTTTCCTGTGGAAAGCTTACAGGGTTGGCTGTGGGGAAGTGAAGTATTAATACGGGGGCAGAAACGACCAACAAGCCTGGGCAGCTTCTTCGCACCTTATATAGCACAGGGGCTCAGTGGTGTGGGATGGTCACTGGAGAAGAGACCCTGGCGGGGCGTCGGGGGGAGGGGGTAAGTGGTTACTGGCAGGGCTGATAGATGGAAAAAAAAATGTTCAAATAGCCAAGCAGATTAGCATAGTGAAGGGTCTAAGTGCTAACTTCTACAGAGCAGAGACCGCGTCCTTTCCTATACGCAACGCGTGGGGATTTTCCAGGGGCCAGGAACTCATATAAGGAGGAGCTTTAGTGTACAGGCCGGCGGGGGTGAGGGGGGTCCTGCTTCCACAAAGTTATATTCCCCTCCCACCTAATTAAACAATGACTATGGAAACATTAACAGAAGGATGTGTTTAGAAAGAAATAAACGCCGCCAAGAAAGAATAAAACAGCCTAGAAAGTGATAGAAGGGTACAGGGGCTCCTTAGGCAACATCGCGGGGTGGGGTGGGGGACACACATCTTAGGGGTGAGGTATTCCAGCTGTTTGATGGGGGAGACAAATGAAGTTTTCTTTCTACTTGAGATAAGATGCATGGTAAACTCTCATTCCTGACTTAAATGGCGTTTGTGTGTGTGTGTGTGTGTGTGTGTGTGTGTGTGTGTGTGTGTGGTGTGTTTAACTCAAGGGAAACATCTTCATCGAGAGGGACTTAACAATGAGAAAAGCTTAGTCCCCTCCTACCATCAACAGCACCTCCAACTTCTCCAACAACAGGAAGGAAATCAAACCCACTTGCCTTGTAAGTGGCATCCTGAGTGTTTATGGAGAAGTTGGATTCAGGGTACCAGGTTCTGGAAACAAATTCACACAAAGATGGTGTAGCAGGAGAAAACAAACAGTAAAAAAGAAAACACGTCAACAAAGGTGTTGTCCAGGAATGATGAACGCTGTTAATAAAGAAGGGGAAGGGAGTTGGAAAGTAGTGAAAGAGACAAAACTTTAGAGAAAGAAGCATCTCCTAGGAGCAGATATTTTTATTTGGTGGTGGTGGGGGGTGCAGTTCCCCCATTTATTTACCTTTTTTTTTAATCATGCATTAACTGTTGCAGGTAATGGGTTTCAATATGACATTTTCACCAGAGCATCTAAGATATTTTGATCATATCTGCTTCTCTTATTCTTTCTCATCCCCCCTCCACACCCGTGTTCTTCTCCCTTTCACTTCCACGAACCATTTCCTTCCCCCCAAACTTCATATATGAGAGGACACACGTGACTCCTGTCTTTGAGAGATTGGGCTGTTTCCGTTAACATGATACATTCCATCTATTTTTTCATGCAAATGACATGATTTTATTATTCTTCTCGGCTGAATCAAGCCCCATTGTGTATATACACGCTACACTATCTTTACTCATTAATCTGCTGATTGACAAGGAGGCTCCTTCCTCAAGCCTGGCTGTTGTGAGTGGGGTCATGATGAAAACGGGTGTGCAGGTGTCTGTGTCCAAGGGGAGCTGACTGATCCCCTTGGACATATCCCTGAGTGGTACAGCTGGATCAGACAGCCTTTCTATTTTTAATTTTCTGAGGAAAGATGATACTCAGATAGAGAGAGACACTTTCTGCCACGAGGAGAGTTAGGGGAGAATGCATGATACAGAGGGAGGGTGGTGGGGGAAAATGGAACCTTGTATCTTCACAGAAGGTGGAATCAGCCAGTGTGGCTGGAGCATGGCATGAAGCGGTGAGCAATGAAGCCATCTCGTCAAAGGCAAGGTCTCCTACGCCATGGAAAGGAGCCGAAATATGTTCTCCATTCAGAGGGAAGCCAGGGAAAGCTTTGAATCATGGGAGTGACGTCATCTGGTGCAATTAGCCTTTTAGCAGAAGCACTGAGTGTTCTGTAGAAAACGGAAGCAAGGCTGTGTTTTAATCTGGGATGGTTTCGAATGCATAGACATATCGGACAAATATTTCTCAGGAAATAAAAGTCATGAACCTATTGTACATAAAAACTAACAGCTCTGGCCTTTACATGAGTTGTTTTCTTACTCCTCAAGAATGATGCTATCCAGAATTTGTAGTGGATGTGGCTCGTTGTTCCGAAGACCTGGGAACAAAATGTTTCTTCAAGGCAGAGGGCAGCAAGTCTGTTGGACAGAGGTATGTCCTGTTGAGCAAAATGATAATTTCTCCTTCTCGACTTTACTGTTTATATCATTTATACCTTTTTATAAGCGTGTCACACACATGACATTTAGGTTAGGACACAAAGTCCTGTTGCTCTATAGACTTCAATGTCAACAGAAAACTATTTTCTCCCATGTTTTCACTGTTCTCAATAAACCAAACTCTTAAAATGTCTACACTCAGTTCTTGTACTGGAGATAATGTTGAAAAAGAGTTTCTGTGCCATGTGTTCAGTTGTGTTGTAGAAGAGGGAGGGTACATTTAAGATAGAGCCTTGCTGCCCTACAAGAGAAAGGATACAAAAACGAATCTGTACATAACTTTGTTTCAGATGGAGGATCTAGTTTGTAGCAGAGGTTCCTTTGTCTAGACCATTTTGCTTCCTCCTCAAAAGTCCCATAACCCCCTCACTCCCCGGGAATTATAACTTTTCATAAACAGTAAGGAAAAAGAATTAAAGAATTGATACTGCTAAAGAGAATTCAGAAGTCTTGATTTTCCTGTTTTAGGTTTCTGCTTGAAGATGCTTGTTCTTAAAGAATGCATAATACTGACTATGGGAATTTCTGCTTGAGATTTTCAAATGACCCAGCAGGTCATTTGACAGAAGTTTGTAGGAAGCAGTTTGGGAGGGACATGGGCTTTGAAGTCAGCCTGGAAAGTTGAGTCCTGTCCCCAAGATTCTTGCTATGTGGCTTTCCACAAGTCACATAAGTCTTTCCACAGGAAATGAGGAGCCAGGGATTTCAAATTGCTGACTGGAAAGCACTTTGAAAATACTGGGTTGTTGTCTCCTGTTTTGATGGTCATTGTTTTTATTCCCTTGTCCAGTTTCTCCTTCTAAGGACAAATTTACTGACAAACATATTTGGGTTTCTGGTAGCATCTTTACTTTGGAAGAGCATGTTCTGATGACTCAACTCAGGGTAGTACACATCTCAAGTTTGAAAGAATGAAGATCTTAGTAGAAGATCATGGGCTAGGTAGTCCAGAAAACTTAACTATAGTTTATCTTGAGGAGTGAGCACCAACCCAGAGCTAAGGACTGCAGCAGTATGTGGGGATGAATTTTGCCAGAAAAAAAAAAAAAAGCACAAGAAGAGGTAACACAATGGCCTGCACAGAGACAAAACAGACTGAGAAAGAACCTGTCCCAGAAGTACACCGGCCGCTGTGAAGGACTAGACACCAGACAGAGGAATCCATCAAGAAGTGTACCCCAGCAGGTACAGCAGGCATCCGGAGAGCATGGCTGTAGCCAGCCAGCGTGTCATTTTTTCCAGCATAGCTGTCAACAGAAGGCTGAGAGAAGGAAGGAAGGGCAGGTCCCCACAGGCCTGGTGACAGGCACAGGAGGGAGTGATAATAACAGTGCCCCGCAGCCAGGCAGCAGCTAATCCACACCAGGAAGTCTGGCGTGAGAAGGAGGGTCTTAGCTTTGTTACCATTATGCCCTACCTTATACCCCCTTACCCCCAACATATATGGCCCATAGACAAATACACACACATACCCCTCAAAAACATACAACCCGTATTACAGATACACATACACACCCTCACCCTCAACATACACAGCCCATACACACACACACACACACATGCACACCTCAAACACATACAACCCATACACAGTTACACACATATACCCTCACTCTTACCCCAAACATATACAATCCCAAACACATACCCTCACCCCGCCCACACACAGATACATATATATACACTCACTGCCATCCCAAACATTTACAACACACACACCCTCATCTGAAACACACACGACCCATATACAAATACACACGCACACACACTTATATCACACACCAACACATAAATCTATATAAAGATACACACACATACACACACACCCTCACCTCAAACACACACAACCCATATACAGATATACACACTTATACCAAACACACACACACATAAAGATACACACACCCTCACCCCAAACACAACCCATACACACACACTCACCCCAAATACATACAACCCATATAGAAATGTGCACACATGCCCGTATACGTGCGTGCATGCGTACACACACACACACCCTCTGTTAAAAGTTACAGCTGCTTATCCAGCAAAGGCTGTAGAGTTAGAAGCCCCATTTCAGCCCTGTTTCATCACTGAGTATCCAAGTGGTTTTGAGCAAATTTCTCAAACCTTCTCTAGCACAGGGGTGCTGTAAACTCATCAGCAATATGTGTGTGTGGGGGGGTGTTGTGAGGAGGAAATGACATCATTTTTAGGGGGTGAGACAGACATATGTTCCTAAACTTGGCACATAAAGTAGACTCACTGAGTAGGATGGATGAAAGTGAAACCACGAGTCCGGTACTGGAGAGGGCAAAGAGTTCCACAAAGAGATGCTCTTGGGAGGAGGGGCAAGCCAAGCCAAATGCCAGATTCCAGAGGGCGGAGCTTATTAACCGGAAATCTCTTTTGCCTGAGCCTCCGGGTTGGTTCTACAGTGTTGCACAAGGCCGTGTTTCTGGAGAGAGTCAAAAGGAGGCACACTGTGTCTAGAAACATGGGAGGTATAGAGTCTCACTGCAGGGAGAGGTGAGAGAGAGCTGTTCTGGAGCGGAAGTAGGTGCAGTAGAGCCACACATCCACACGCAAGTCTGGAAGCCAGATAGAGATTGAGTTCTGAGGTAAAATCCCAGAGAGCTGGAGGCTGGCTTAAAAAATAACCAGGACCCAGCCTGAAATGTTGAGGAGAGGAACACATGAGTAATCCTGGGTTTAGTACTAGATGGGCCAAGGTGAACGAGTAAGTAAATGAGGAAGCATGAGCCCCGCTGGTTGGCTTGTTGGGCAAGTTCCAGAAGAGAAGGGCAGAGTTACCTTAAGAAGAAAGGAAACCTTCTTTCCAAACAGAAGGGTAAAGGTTGAGAGGAACATTGAGATGGAAATGAGAGAAGATGACAACATTTTTAAGTGGTGGCTTCTGTCTTAGCGCAGAACAAAACAGGTATGCTGGCTAGTCTTGTGACTCACAAACTAGAGTCATCTGAAAGGAAGAAACCTTACTTGAGAAAATGCCTCCATAACATCCAGCTGTAAGGCATTTTCTCAATTAGTGATCAATGCTGGAGGGCCCAGCCTATGGTTGGTGGCGGCATCCCTGGACTGGTGGTCCTGGATTCTATAAGAAAGCAGGCTGAGCAAGCCATGGAGAGCAAGCCAGTAAGCAGCACTCCTCCATGGCCTCTCTTGCCTCCAGGTTCCTGCCCTGTCCTGGCTTCCTTTGGAGATGAACAGTGACATGGAAGAGTAAGCAGAATAAACCCTTTTCTTTCTCAACTAGCTTTTTGGTCGTGGTGTTTAGTTGCAGTGATAGAAATCCTAACTAAGCCAACAGTCATTTAGGAGGGGCCAGGGGAGGTTGAAGCCAGGACTTGAGCAGAAAGTGTCAACTTTCTGACTGTGGAGTCGTGGCTTGTGCATCTCTGGAATGCACCTACCGCAGGCTGGGGCTCGCATGGAAACAGAAAATCAGCCATACAATGGCCCCAAATAGTAAAACCAGCCTCCACCCTCCGTCCTAGCTAGGATCAATCCCCTACACTGCCATCCCCGATTCCCACCACAGCTTCTCTCTCTAACACCGTTGGGCACTTTCAGTCCCAACTCACAGGGCAGGCCCAGCTCAGTGAGGTCATCCAGGCAACCCGGAGGCTTGCTGCCTGCTCTGGGTTCTCATGTATTAGATTTGCACTACATCTGCCGAATACAAATCCTCTTTCTTCTTGCAGTGCTGTTCCTATATTTTGTGTGATGTGACAGAGTCTTTCTCAATTTGCACATAATTAATTAATTTACAAGTGCACCTGTTGTTTGTTTGTTTATTTGAGACAGGCTTGGTCTCCCTTGACCAGGCTGACCTTGACCCCTCCTTAACATCCGGTCTCCACCTCCTGACTGCTAGGATTACGGAGTTCACTACCATGTCCAATCTCAAGTCTCCTGTTAAAAGTCACAAGCCTAGGCTTTCCTGAAACCCTAAGGAAAAGCCTGTTTGCTATCCTGTGATCCAACGTGACCTCCACAGAAAGCATATAACAAATAAAAAGGGCAAAATGTAGGGTGTTTCACTTGGATACAGGCTCTCCTCTTCACAGTTGAGTCCCAGACACACTTCAGAAATGAATGAGATAGGTTTCAAGGAAGCCCCCCCCCACCCCCCAAGCAAAGGTCCCACAACCTTTGCCCTCCTTCCTGGAGTCTTTTGGTGGATTCCACTGGCTTTTATCTCTTCTCCCCAGGTTAATATGCATCACCTCTAATTCCATTTGCTATGAAATCTCCCAAGGACTATGGTCCCTTCTAAGAGGCTTGGGTTGGGACTTAACGACTTAGAAATCTTACTGTGGGCCTCTGAAGTCCTGTGCAGGAATTTGCCAACAAGGTGTCACAGATAGAGCAGAGAAACTAGCTTTATACTCCCTTCAGAGACTCCTGGCTCATCTCAATTCCCCAGTGTGAACCTTGGTTGTAACCTTGGCCAATGTAGCAACATGTCTCCCCACACAATGCCTGAATCAGTATCTGCATCTGAATCTTCATGTTTGAGGCTGGAATGGGTCAACATCACATGTCTTACTATTTTGTAGGGCAGTATGAGACTGTCCCTCAGGGTCTTTTCAAATGAGCTGTCTTTCAGAAGGACACACTCAGGTGTGGTCCAGGGATCATCTGAACCTTGAGAAGCTGCAGGTCCAAAGCCCTTCATCATGTGCTTGAGAGTGGTCAACCTGGGGGTAATTATTAAGTCCGCAGCAATAAGTATCGTGCAGACTGCCTCAGAAATTAACTCAATGCAGAAATTGAGGTCATGTGGCTTTCTGAAGTGCAAGGACAGATGGCATATGGGCTCAATTTTGCCTTCAATTTCTCTTTGAAGTTAATAGGCATGGCAGGTACTTATCTAATCATGCCATTTGGACCAGCGTGTTCTGCACATTCAGGACTTTGTAATGAGATGCAATGTTTATGTTCCAGGCTCTTCCCTACAGACTGCAAAAAAATACCCTTTGCTCAATCCTGTCTAATCATTACAAGTGTCAACAGTCAAAGCTAATGACAGAAAGTAGGTTTATAGGGCAGTAACCTTGCCTGCTTGGCACAAAAGACCTATTCCCAGAAGGAAAAAAAAAGATTTAAAGAATTAT